AACCATTAACAATAGTAAATTGTTTTAATATTACCTTATTAATCACAACTTTCTTAATGTACATTTGTACTAAATATCACTCAAAGCTACAACCAGGTGACGAAATTACCCATACAACACATTGCTAGTTTTTTATATAAAAAACTGGCTTAACTCAAAATAAAACAGGAATTATTACTGTTATTATTATAGATTTGACCAAAATTCTATTATTTATTTCCGGGTCATAGCTTTATAAAAATAAAACTTTAATTTTATAATTTTTAATAAAAACCTGGGTGGTCAGGTTATTTTTTATAAACCAATATATTTACTTTAATACAAAAGTTGTATAAATATTTTTTATTTAATTGTAAAAATATAGAAGTAATTACAGCTCTCCGTCTGATATAGAATCTCTTAATTCAGTTAAAATTACATCAGAAGTACTACATTGTGTAGATTTTTGTAATGGTAAAAGAAAAAAATCATCAAGAGTTGAATTTTGTTTATCTTTGTTTTTTAGTTGTACTTTTGGTCGTCCTCGAGTAGAAGGATGTACTAATTTTTTGTGATTTGCTAAAAAAGCAATAGTTGGAAAATATTTTTGACAAGTAGGGCTGCAAAGACGTGAATAAGAATTTTTTTCAAGAGATGGGCAATGTGCATCATAACCTGGGATTTTTAAAAGATCATAATATTGAAGCAAATGAATAGGATTCATATAATGCCCATCTTTGGCTCTAGTAACTGGTGGCAAAAAACCAGTATAACATTCAAGAAATTCCATAGCTTCTTTAGCTCTAAATACTCCACAGCAATTAATGTCACTGCATTTTCTAATATCAGTAGAATATGCACACAAATTACAGTACTTTTCAATCCAAGACCAAGAAACAAAATATTCAGATTCTTCATTTTTTCTATATTTTTTTGGTTTTGTTTTTCTTGTCTTTTTAATTCTTCAATGTTTTCTTTTGCTGTACTCTCAAACTGTAAATTGTCAAATGGATTTGTAAATGTATCAATATATTGAGTATGAACATGCTTTCCAAAAATTAAATCACGACTCTAAGCATCACAAAGAATTTCTCCAGCATATTTAAAGTTTTGAGCAGCCAATTCTGAATCTATAACTTTGCCTTGTGAATCCAAATGCTTGCCAAAATGATCTATTGGTAAGGTAATACCTGCAAGCTTTCCAGATAATGTAGCCATCCCTCTTTCAACAGGATTATATTTTGACTGCCCTGGGGCATGTGTTCGGATACTTAAATAATCTAAATCAAATTTTTTAAAAAGCTGACAATATACTTTTATATTTTTTAAATGCTTAGAGTTTTTGTCTGGCCCACCATCTACTAGTAAAATCCAAATAGGTTTAATTTGTCCATTAAACTTTAAACTATTTTCATATTGAGAATTCAAAGTAAGACTTTTTAAATCTTGCATATGTGTAAGAGATGATGTACCAGTAGGCCATTGGGGACAAATAAAAATTGCAAGCTGACCTGTTCGAAGTTCATCATTCCATTTATTTGGTGTTATAATCAAATATACAGAAGGAATTAATTTTTGCCCATGCCCTATAAGAAAGTCATGATCATCTACAACTATGGGCTCATTAATTGACTGTAAGGTTTGAAAAGTACGACCTACAGCAGGTACTCCAAGACCAACCTTTGCTTTGTCATCTTGAGAAACAATAACTGACATATCAACAAACATAGAAGCAAATTGTTTTGCATACTTGACAGATGCAAGACAATAGTGTTCATCAAGATATTCTGGAGTGTCTGTACGTGAAACACCAGCTACAGCAACCCATGCTGGATGTTTATGTGCCTTTGCAGCAATTGAGTTAGCTCGCCGTGGTAAAAGATAATTATTTAATGTTGTACATGCCATATAAATATTATATCTCTCCTCTAAATTCTTACGCAAATTTTCAATAATTCTTACTTTAACTATCTCTTTGCGCCTTCTTGGATCAGCTGATCCAGATTCAACAGAATCATGTATTTGGTTATGCAGGTTTGGATATTGAAAAAGTAAGGATGGACGACCAACCTTATCATACCGAACTACCTCTTGATTTTTAGTAAGCATTTTAAGTTTTTTTTCTCTACAGTTTTGAGCGTATGTTGCATTCCTTTTTAATTTATTTATTTTTTCTTTGTTTAATTTAATCTCAGATTCTGCTTTTTCAATTTTTTCATACATTTCACGTAAAATTTCTATATCACTTGTAATTTCACAAATTTGTCTTAATTCTATGATTTTTTTCTCGATTATTTCAATTTCATCAGCTATTCTTTTTTGAGCTGTTGCATTAACAGAAATTTCTAATGTGTTCTCAGTTGAAACAATAGCAGGAAGTCGAGAACTGGTTCAACTTCTATTACAGGTCTAGGACGGCTTGCTCTTACTGTTGGTATATTATAAGGATCAATTGGAGCAGTTAGATATCATTTATTTCTAATGTACTTTTGCCTTTAATTTTATTCCACTCTGTTGCTGCCTCACTACAAATATTTGCACGATTTGGAGAGCAATTGCCCATTTTAACCATAATACTATATGCATAAGCATTGGTAAATTCCTGATATTTATTAGTGGGCGAATTGTAAATTGATTTTTTATTAAAATTTGGGCCAATTAAGTAAGTTTGACGACTCATTTTTATTAAAAAAAGTAGACAAGTATTTTTGTGAACTACGAAGTCTTTTTTATAAAGAATTATAAAATGCAAATTTTAATGAACTACGATAATTAATGCTAAAACAAAGGTACGTTATTTTTTACTTTGGAATGCTTTTATATTTAAGATGTATAATTCTTTTTTTTTAAGATCTACGGCTATACAACAGGATCATTCTTATTTATTTTCCTTTTTTATTATAATTTCTAACACAGCCTCAATTAAAATTCAAATTTAGCTTAATCTGTCTTTCTTTTTTTTGCAAGTGCAGCCCTTAATTAATTGCTTTTTTGGGTTAACTCTTTCAGGCTATGTTAACGATAAAATTATATGACTTGACTAATTTAGTAACTTCATTGATATAATTTAAAAATAAAATCTAATTATTGTTTATTGTATTGTACGTAGATATAGAATTTTTATAAGAATTACACAATAGAAAGCTAAATGCAGCACAAGTTAAAATTTATATACTAAGCGAGAAGAAAATATTTATCTTCATAATATAATTTTAATAAAAAAAAAACTACTATAATTTCACGTATTTTTATATAAATTAATTTAAATATAATTTGGATTTCTATAGTACCAATCAGTTACTAATAAATTCAGAAAAATTTTTCATGTCATATAGTTTGCTAATATACATACACAGGTTGAATCAATGAATATCGGGTGCATACCGGGAGACAAGTTTCCTGTTATGTATCCGATAGTCTACTATAGATCCGCCAAATAACTGCTGAATAAATGTAGCATTGGCAGAATATTGGTAAGTTATTTGGCAGATCTATGGCAGACTATCGGGTATATAACAGGAAACTTGTCTCCCGGTTTGCACCCGATATTTATTGCTTCAACCTGTGTATGTCTTGCAATGTATTTGTTTATCGGTTTTGGTTTAATCTTATTAGCTTCCAAATTTTGTTTTCTGATTTCATTATTATCTTGCTGATTATTTCATCTAACAATAAGTGAATATTTCAATAATTTCTGTTGCAGTAAGTTGTTTATCAATATCTTAAAACATTTAGGTCTTGTCCCATCGATAATTTTTGATACAAGATCACCATCAAATGGAATTCCATCATCTTTGTCCACTTGAAATTTCTGTCACGACTCCAAGGATATAAATATCTGATGCTTGGATATATGGTTGACTCACTAAAATCATTATATACGGCTGTGCTCCGAAAATTCTTTCTTCCTTTACTTTTTTAGAAAGTCCAAGATCAGTAATATATGTTATCTTTGCAAACTGTTTTTGCTGTGTAAATCTCCATAAACGAATTTCTATGAATGAATTGCTCAAAGTCCAAAGCTATACCGTACAAAATATTCAATTTATCTTTCCATTCTAATTGTGATACTACGAAATTTTGTTACAATGAGCCTTTCAATGCAATCCTCATAACAATAATATAATCGCAATCATTATTTTGTAACACTCAAAACAATTCAAAAATAAAGATTCTTGTAGCCAATTTTACAGTAATTCTTCAATTTCTGGGCAAATCTTGTACATTGCATTTGAATCACAAACGACTTTAAGTACAACATATCACTATGTATTATTAATTCTGTTATACCAAGATGCACTATATACAATTGTGAATTCTCCTTTTCCAATTTCCTAGATATCTCTAAATTCATTATAATCAATCCAAAATAATTTAAATTTCTCATCATCCAAAATTCTTTTAAGTTCAGAATTGATATGATTTATTAGTTTTCAAAAGACTTCTATCTTTTCCAAACTAATAATTTGCCTTATGAATACCGTAAAGTGCCATACAATAGATCCCCTATGAGTTGTACCCGGGGTATTCTGCGGATAAGAATTCTATTTATATCTGCATGCTACGTATTCATATTATATATATAATAATAGCATCTTTATGCTTCAAAAAATACCTAGTTGGTATAAAACATTGAAAACTAATAAAGTTGAATAAGAAATGTATAGCGGGTATATCTATAGTCTTTGTAAATACCCAGATACGTCAGTTGGCACTTCATGGTATCTCTCTTTGTGTTAGTACCATTTTAATAGCATATAGCAACATTTCCCATTGCTCCATAAATACCGATATTAGTAGATCTTTTATAGTATTCAAATGCTTTATTATGACCTTTATCAATACCTAATCCATCCTAATCCATATTTATAACAAAAACATACACCACAAATTGCTAAAGCATTACCCAAAACAGCCGATCTCTTACAAATTCTTTCTTATAATCTTTTTTTTACTTCAATTTCATATCTGTAACAAAGACCAACAGCGTGTATCACATATGAATTTCTTAACTCAGCTGCTTTCATATAGCATTCAAAAGCCTTCTTTCCATCTTTCTTAACACCAATACACTTTCATAACAAAGCAAACTTCTTGAATCTCGTCCAAATTCGCATAATATTTTAGAGGTAGGGTTGAGCATGTATTATATCAATATCTTAGTTACACAAAGAAAATTAGTATAATCGGATTTTTTAAATTAGCCAATCATATTGGATCTTATGTGGGGGAGGGGGGTAGCCCTCATAGTAAATGGATATTACGTAATAAATGTCACAGCCCTTAGTATAATATTAGTTGATATACATACGTCATCAGAAGTAATGTTAAAGAAATCGGCAATCAGAAATCATCGATTTCTTTTTTTTTTTGATCTGCAAATTTCAATTTTTTTGCAAACCGCAATAATTACATGAAAATAAAAATGGTTAAGGAAATCATATAATTCTTTTTTATTATAATAAGGTGTGCTCTAAAACGAAAAGTTGTTCAACAACTATATTCTTAAAAAAGAAAAAAATTTGTAAAAATTAAAATTGTAATTATTTCTGTAATAACCATACACAGAAAAACCTATAATCCAGATTATCTTCACTGACACCATGAAGCAGTTTATTTCTGATTTATTGTTTTATTAATTGCGCTTTCATCTAATGTTGAAGCATTACCTGCTAGGGGATTCTGTTGCAAGACATTCGAAGAAGATAAAGATTCTGTAGCCGAATAAACTATTTCTTTAAATGTTCTATCACTACTTCTTTAAATGTTCTATTCACTACTTCTTTAAATGTTCTATTCACTACTTTAAATGTTCTATTCACTACTTTAAATGTTCTATCACTAGTTTTTACAGTAAATTTTCTATCGCTACTACATAAATTTCTATCACTACTTCTTTAAATGTCCTATTACTACAACTTAAGTGCTCTATCACTAAGACTGTTATTTTTTTTTTGAGGCATTTAAAATATCATATGTTAATTGTTATACAGTAAAATCTCTATAAGTGCACGCAAGCTTTAACAACGTTCATTTGAAATCATAGAGGGCATGTATGTTTTTGGGCCAGAACTTAAGCATACATTTAGAGAGGGTGTGCATTTATTGAGGGTGCACTTATGGAGGTTTTTCTGTATTTATTTCTATTTATTTATTTATTATTAAAAAAAAAATAACGTATACATCGCCTTGAAAATAATGAATTGATTCTTTTAAATGCTGCAGAATCTGGTCATTTTGTAATGGAATCAAACAGGTTTTTAGAAGTTGAATAATTTCGGTTGGTACAGTATATTAATCATCTCATTTAATAAACAAATGAATAAAAAGGCTTATTTCGTCGTTATTTGACTTTGAAGATTGAACTAGATAGAGTATTTGGCTTTTTTTAAATACCCGTTTGTACGAAAATGAGTACCTTTTACTTTGTTGATTTCATTTTGTTGATAATTAGGTTATAATTTGAAAAATGCATTATTGTTTAGTTTTGATTATTTCGAAAATACTTTAGATAAATTACTGGGGTTTGACTTTTAGAATAACGGCTTGTCAAATTTTCTCATAAAAATTTAAGTTTCTAATATTAGATCCACTTAAACCATATTTTTTTACAATATATAATCTGTTGTAATAGTGGTCAATTCGCGGATTTCTTTAATATTCGCGGGATAGGGATGAACAATCTACATTTTCCTTAAATTTTCTTCATAATACATGAGTCATGAAAAGCATAGCGGTAAATGAAGACAGCAGTCTACGTTACAATTAATATTATAATGTCTTACTATTAGAGTTATTAGCCAGGTCGAGTGACCAGTACAGGTCACCCGACCCGATGGTCACGGGTCGAAAATAGCAATAACCGGGTCAAACGGGTCAGAATTCAAAATATGCAAAAACCTACTAAAATGCTATATTACGCAATTTACTATTCGTTTTGCCATTTTTGCTATTTAATTTTTTCCCACAAATTTATCTGGTATAGTGAACTTAACCCGACAGGTCTGTTAAAAAAAAATAATAATTTTCCAAAATTTTCCGATTCCATATTAAGCAAAACAAAAAATTAACTTGCGTGTCTTAAATATGAGCATTAATCTATTAATTTATTGTAAAATTTTTTTTTTTTTTAAAAAAAAAGATCTGACTTGCTGACCGAAATTTTGGAACACCGGGTTATGCAAACCAAAATTAACTTTGTGTGGCCTATGGGTAGAAGGCATTATAATTTACTAAATAGTAAAGCTCTTACCCGGGGCCACGTATTTCCCTAAGTAGAAAATGAACGAACTCAATTCACGAACAAGATCGAAAAAATTTTAATACAAAAATCGAAAATCAGTTTAAATATTTGTACAGACTGTTCTCTATCTCTTAAACCGTTTCTCCTGCAAATCTGCCCTGAAATTTTTTTTAAAATGAAATTTTTAAAATAAAATTTCAA